AGAAATGGAAAAAGTTTTTTTAATTACAAAATAATTTAAGAACTCTAAGGAAGGCATATAGATTCATAACTGGTGACATCTTTTATAGGATAGAGGTGCCCCATACTTCATTATATAATACATTCCTAAAAAAGGGTCTGAAAAATCAGATGTGTGAAAAAAAATAGAATTTATGTATATTTTTTAATGGAGTGGGTGTGATGTTTCATTTTCGGGAAGCTCACAATTAGTATTAATACTGTATTGTTAAATACCACCCCTGCCGGCACTGCATCTGCCTCCTAGGGGTCAGGTGTTCTAGTGGGTGGATGCAAACCTCCGTAGGCACCAGGAGAGGCAACTGCAGCGTGGGATCCCACCAATTTTCTCCTGGGAAACAGAGAGATCAAACCATGAGTCTCCCTGTCTCACAGGAATCTGAATGTTGGGCAGCTTGCAGCCATTAAATCACCTGAACAAGATGCCTGTAATGTTCTAAGCATGGTGAAGGAAAACGTGGAGTGAGGTTGGTATCCCATGTGTATGTGTCCACCTCGCTGAGGGAGACTAGCTGTCTTCCACAGCAGCACTGCAAGTTGCCTTCTCTAATTGTTATTCTCATAGCCTGGGATTGAATGAGGACTGAGGAGGGAGAAAGGATTTGGAGAGAGAGAGGAGATTGAGTGGGGTAAGGGGAGCCTGGCAGTGGATAGTAATAATGCATGAACTGATAACTTGAGCTCTACTGTAGTCCTAGGAATCTGCATATGACCACTCAGCATGGAAGAGAGAAAGGAAGATAGAAAAGACTGTGGATGTACTGTGGTGAGAATGGTCAGAAAGCATTTTGTCTTTTGACTTGGCTGATGCTACTACAGAAAATAGTCTACAAATGTTACAGCCACATCAGGAAGCTGACCTTCCTTCCTTTGCTCAAACTTCCATGGGTATATCTAAATCACTCTCAATCAATTGTGGCATAAAATTCTGAGTTTGGCCTATGAAAGGTGGTTTAAGGCATGATTGATAAGACACAAAAGTATCTATTGTGTAAATGTTAAGAATCACCTTCGTATGAGAGTTTATTAAAACAAAAACAAAACTCCCCCAAAATCCTACAGTACACCCTAATTCCTTGGTCACGATAGCTCTTGGACAAGTCAGGTCACTATCAAGTCCAGGTCTAGTGGGCATCACTAAGTGCTCATAGTACTTCCAAAGGTGCAATTTATATTTGTTGAAATCTTACTTCAAAGGAAAAAATTAGTTAAATAAATGACCAGGTAGAAAGAATCTCTGTGTGATTCTACCCAATATTTTCAGTTGTTTTTCTATGTGTTTCCAATAACCACAAATGGCATTCATAAATCCTCAACGTTTTCAACATGGATTTCCTTTAAATGTTAAAATATGTCTCTTATATGTGCAGAGTTATGGAAAGGAGGATAATACAATATTGAATATAGGTATCTCTAAGTTATATTCTTTGACCAAATGCAAGGTTACCATGAACTTGCAGAAATTATAGAATTACTTCCTATGACCATCTCTTTACAGGTACTTGAAGGAGGAATATTCCTTCAGGAAAATATTGGTTTCTTTTCTTTCAAAATTTCACTTCTAACTAATAATACCATTTTTATATAAAAATCAAGGAAAAAACTGCAGTTCTTAAAGTAAATATCTAGTCTGGTCCATTGGGGAAAGTGAGTGGTTATTACTTAATTCATGTAGCATAATCAATTTTATTATATATGTAGCATTTAGATTACAATTCTACTACTGATTTTAGTCTGCCACAATTTATACCACTTGTGCTTTATTTTAAGCTCTTTTTACTATGAGGAAAAATGCTAGAGCATTATTGGAATGTTTTTGGAAATTTTCTATTCTGTTATTGTAATACAATAA